CAGGTGGCTTTGGTAACTACCTACTGGCCATGAGTGACAGAATCGCTTCCCAGGCAGATGAGGCAAATAACCCTCAAAATATCAAGAATCCGCATCTTGGATGGATAATTGGTTTCCTCCTCCTTGTCAGCTTCATTGGGCTCTTTGGTCTTGTGCCTCTGAGGAAGGTAAAATCATTCTATGTTCCGATATTTATTTTCTCAAGCAATCATGTACACACCATTTTAACCAAATTAGCACTGTTCAGATCATGATCATTGACTACAAGCTGACCTATCCAAGCGGCACTGCAACGGCCTACCTCATAAACGGCTTTCACACACCCCATGGTGCCAAGATTGCAGTGTAAATACTGCAACCATTTCTATTTTTGAGCTAGTCAGATCTGTACATGATGAGCTTACCAGTTTTGCTTTGGTTTGCGTCACTTTTACAGGAAGCAAGTAAAGAAACTGGGCTTATTCTTCGTGCTCAGCTTCTTCTGGGGTTTCTTTCAGTGGTTCTACACAGCCACCGATACTTGTGGATTCAACCAATTCCCATCATTAGGGCTGCAAGCTTTCCAGAACAGGTAAAGATTGTAGACCTTGCAAAGGACGTCTCCAGTCAAATTTCTCCAAAGAGTGATGCGTCATTAGCTCATTAACTTAAACTCGTTGCACACCTTAAGCCAATAACTCGGGAAGTGATCGATTTAGGAAGTAAGCTCGTTTATTTGTTCAGTTAAGGCCGAAACTGACTCGGAAGAGAAAAAACCGTCCACGTGGCTGCAGCGTCGGCGTACCTTGCATATTGGGTGAATTATTTACATGGAGTTTTTTTTTTCCTAAAGCAGACGAAACTGAACCTGGGCCTTACAGAAAATGAGGGACACCTCTGACCACTAGAATGAACACTGTTTTGTTTATAAAGCAGGTCAATTAATTATTTGTATACGCAACGATATGGTTAATTGTTTTCTACAAAATCAGCCAATTGTTCATAAGGTGATATTATTTATGTCTTCTCGAACCTGCACCCTACGGTAAGTAATATGACTTGCCGACCTAGAACGGCAAATTAATTTGCAAATAACAGTTAGGTTACATAATTTGTATAGAATCACGGCTCGTGTTAGCTAATTGTGTGCACGCTGTTTTGACAATTTGACGTGTTGGAGTCCTTTAGCCTCAGCCTTCTCCAGCACAGGAGAGAACTTAATTAGGCGAGGCGAACTGTCATTACATCATATTTTTACTCTGATTCCTGATTTTGAAGTTTCGTTCAAATCTGCAGAGCACAACTCTTTCAACATCTCCTTAATCGAACTTCTTTTTTGCAAGGTTTTACTTTGACTTCTCTCCGACCTATGTCGGAGTTGGAATGATTTGCCCACATATTGTCAACGTATCTGTTCTCCTTGGAGGCATCCTGTCTTGGGGAATAATGTGGCCTCTCATAGCCAAGAAAAGGGGTATTTGGTTCGCTGCCAATCTTGCTGATACTAGTCTTCACGGAATGCAAGGTTACCGGGTAAGAAAACGCTCTTTCTTGAAGCCTGAGCTATCCTTTCTTCTACTAAATTCCAATTGATATTACAGGTGTTCATAGCCATTGCCTTGATTCTCGGTGATGGCCTCTACAACTTTCTCAAGATGCTCATTCTCACAGCCTGGTCATTAAGATCTCAACACAAGAAGAGTAGCGCTAGTACACTTCCAATCTCTGATGATGAACCAAGTAATGGTACTGCAACTATATCATACGATGAGGAGCGACGCAATGAACTCTTTCTAAAGGATCAAATCCCCTGGTACATTGCATATGGAGGCTATGCTGCTGTTGCCGCCGTATCTATTGGCACTGTCCCACAGATATTCCCTCAGCTGAAGTGGTACCAAATATTGGTAGCCTATATCGTAGCACCGATACTTGCCTTCTGCAATGCCTATGGAACTGGCCTCACTGATTGGTCTCTCGTTACAACTTATGGAAAGCTCGCAATCTTCGCTTTCGGTGCATGGACAGGTGCTTCACATGGAGGTGTTCTTGCAGGTCTGGCTGCCTGTGGTGTGATGATGAGCATTGTTTCTACTGCTGCTGATCTGATGCAGGACTTCAAAACAGGATACCTGACACTGGCCTCACCAAGGTCAATGTTCATCAGCCAAGTCATAGGCACTGCAATGGGTTGCGTCATTGCTCCCTGTGTTTTCTGGCTTTTTTACAAGGCCTTTGATAATATTGGGATCAGTGGAAGTGAGTACCCTGCACCAAATGCTGCCATCTTCCGCAGCATGGCAATACTAGGTGTCGATGGCTTCTCATCGCTACCAAAGAACTGCCTTACTCTCTGCTACATATTCTTTGTTGGAGCAATCGTTGTCAACTTGATAAGAGATCTTGTTCCCAAGAAGGTATCAAACTTCATACCAATCCCAATGGCGATGGCAATCCCATTCTACATAGGATCGTATTTCGCCATTGACATGTTCATCGGGACAGTGATCCTTTTTGTCTGGCAAAAGCTGGACAGAGCCAAGTCGGAAACATTTGCACCGGCAGTTGCCTCCGGCTTGATTTGCGGCGATGGATTGTGGGTTCTGCCTCAGTCGGTGCTTGCTCTTGCCAAGGTGAAACCTCCTATCTGCATGAAGTTTCTGTCAAGAGGGGTGAACGACAAGGTGGATGCTTTCATCACAACATTATCGTAGAATCTTCAGGGAAAAGGAGAAGTAACAGTTATGAATCAAAGATTCAGATTGATGCCAACTCCTGCCACAGTGGAATTTACATTTGTCCTGTTATTAAGAACATACATATGGGCACAATAAGCCGGTGTAGTCGATATAAGTAGATATGAAACTATGTACAAAGCAATGAATTTACTCGTTTGCAAATTAATTTGCTCCCCTGTGTGTGTATATAAATAGTGTGGCAGGAGTTGCAGCAATGTACATTTATCTATAAATTCGCTTGCAATGCTGCATATAAGAACAGAAGTGTCAGGCTAACACTGTAGTTTCTAAATTCATCACCAAAAATTTACTGAAAACATTGCCAGTAGTACTAAACATACTCGTTTTTTGCAATTATAAGTATGAATATTCTTCTTTTGCAATTAGTACGAAAATATACTCAGACGTTGCGTACCTCAGGAACAGGAGTTCGTTCCATTGCAGCTCGGATCAGATAGCGCGCCTAGCGGGCCGCTCGCGACCCACGAGGCCACGGCCTCTCCCTCTGCCGCGAACCCCTCTCCTGGAGCCCCACGACGGAGCCCAGCGGCACGACGCTGCGGCGCGGTTGCCCTGGACGGGAAGCTGCGCCTCCCTCCCGCACCACTCCTGTATTCCGGGCAGAGCGGCGCTGCTTGCTGGCCGGCGGCGCGCGGCGGGTAGTCGGCGATGTCAGGCAGGGTCCTGCTGATCTGACGAAGTGACAAGCTAGACATCCGAGGAGCTATCGGCAAAAAAAAAAGTCGTTTGTAAAATCCGAAAAAGTGCACCACCAAATGTTGCACGAATCTTGCGCACCCAAGCATCTTGCATGCCAATTTTTATTCACATTTTTTGTATTTTTTTGCTATCTTTTTTGAATTTACTGTTCTTCAAGAGCGGATGAGTCTAGGCTCACATGGCAATTACCGTGTTAAGAACTACACAAATTCGACACAACCAACGCCCTTGACTAAGATAGAATGAGGCGAAATACGGAACAGAAAAACATCACAAGCTATATGGGACCAAGAATGAGAGACGTGCCTTTCAAAAGAAAAATGAGAAACATGCCATTACATGCGTAGCTTTTTTTTTTTTTTTTTTGAAAGGATCGGATTTACTATAAAGTTTATCGAAAGTACAAAGCATCTAAACACATAATAAAAATCACATCAAAAATTTAAGACCACCGGACGATCACTATTGCAGCTAGAACGAGTCGTCGACGCGCCGCTATCGTTGCTCCTATACCGAAGACAGCTTGACCTTGTCAATAATAGCCGACAAGTCTTAATGCATGTGCCCTTATGAACTAATGCCCCTTGAACCGCAATTGTCACCGTTGAACCCTTGCACAGATCTAAAGCACCTTATGCCAAATTTTGCCACATGACGAGAAAGCCTAACCTTACCGCTCTAAGAAGGTGGCAGGAATCTACGCCGAAGCTCCGTCGACTATAACCAGATGGACGAACTCGAGAAGGATTAGAGCCCGAAAGACAAACTCAAAGAAGAAAGGATCGCCATCCGCTTGAACGCCGCACCAGTGAGGACTAAAAAAACTCTATTGTAAACTACTAATTAGTGCGGAGGCATCGGGGTTCCCTCCCCGCCACCAGCCGCCGGAGCGGCCGGCAGAGGGGAGGCGAATCAATGGGCTCGCCAGTGAAAGCAGGAGCGGGGAGTTTTCCTTAGCCGTCTAGGGTGGTTAGGGGAGAAAGACGAGATTTTTTTCTTTTTCTCATAGTGACAAAATTTGAAACATTGTTGTATAGAGTTGGCTGTAAACCGAACATAAGAGTAAGGTTAATATTAAATTTCATTTCATTTTTCAAAATAATTATATAAAGCTATCTTCAAGCTAGAGTTTTAATATAGTAAGTCTTTTTTATGAATCTTCATAAGTGAAATATGAGCATATCTTTGATTTCTTTTAAAATATGAATAATTTAGACGAGTATAGATTCTTCCGGCAATTTGACCCACTCAACAGGCGAGAAGTGCTACCACGGATCATGATCCGTGGCCAGCCCCACACAAACACATCTCCACCGTCTCCCATTCCCCACGCCCGATCCAACGGCTCAGCCGCGACGCGCTCCTCGATCCCTTCATGGCGCCATTATCCGTCCAAAGCCCGAAATTTTCGCTCCCATTTTTCAAGCCGCGCGCCAACCTCCAAATTCCCATCCCTACTTAGCCATCTACCTGCACCGCAGATCATCAGAACCCACACCGCCGTCCCAATCTCCCACCAAGAAACCACCGCACTCCCGCCCAGGCCGCCGACCTCCAGCTCCGATGGCCCGCACGAAGCAGACGGCGCGCAAGTCCACCGGCGGCAAGGCGCCGCGAAAGCAGCTGGCGACCAAGGCGGCGCGCAAGTCCGCCCCGGCCACCGGCGGCGTGAAGAAGCCGCACCGTTTCCGCCCTGGAACCGTCGCGCTGCGCGAGATCCGCAAGTACCAGAAGAGCACGGAGCTGCTCATCCGCAAGCTCCCCTTCCAGCGGCTGGTGCGGGAGATCGCGCAGGACTTCAAGACGGACCTGCGCTTCCAGAGCTCCGCCGTGTCCGCGCTGCAGGAGGCCGCCGAGGCGTACCTCGTCGGGCTCTTCGAGGACACCAACCTCTGCGCCATCCACGCCAAGCGCGTCACCATCATGCCCAAGGACATCCAGCTCGCCCGCCGCATCCGCGGGGAGCGCGCCTAGCCTCCGAATGCTTCCTGCCGCCATGGTCCCTTCTTGGTTGATCCTGAGGGGATTTATTTCGTCCACCTGTGCGTCGAGTTGTTTAGGTTCTACTAGTCGATGATATGGTCCTGTGATGTTGATTACCTGTTGGGAAATTGCAATGGATGTGAATGTGATATATTTTATCCTCATTTCAGAGATCTGGTGAATTGAATTCTCTGCTTGGATGCTATGTCTGGTGAATGATTCTGTACCATCCTAGGAATGGTTCTGTTTGTGTATCAGAAATTTGCAATCGACAATTACTGTGGAGATTGCAGAATTTTGTACATGTTTGTGTGTTGTTTAATTCTTTTGAGCACCGGCTATTTTGTCTAACAGTCTGTTAACTGACAGAATGCATAACTTAGTGTTAACTGACAGAATGCATAATTTAGTGTTAACTGACAGAATGCATAATTTGATGTCAGATTAAACTTTAGATATGATCCCTATGAGGCTACTTCTGCCAAAGTTTTGATTGATCGGAAGGTGGATGTGAGTACGAGCCACTCATCACCGCAGTTGCTATGATATTGTTTGTAGTTATTGTGGCATAGATTCCATCCTTGCTCACGTAGTTCTGCGGGTCTCGGAGGACCGTCACAATTGCAAAGTTGCTGTTTACAATCTTGCTGGTGCCACACTGCACATATGGCCATATGGGTAAAAAAGTTTTGGCTCCGTTACCGTATCCACATCAAGCCTTGGTCCCATACTTCAGCCCTGAAATCACCACCTGACCAGTTTCAGTAGTAATTGACACTTGTAATTTCAGATAGGGTTATGAACCAAGCCAATTGATCTACTCACTCGATGGCAGACAGGATTTGGCAGAGCTTACCATGAGCTTCTGGGTGCCTGAACAGCTCGAGCATGACGGAATATTTGTTTTTTTTTTTGCGGGTGACGGAATATTTGTTGACGTACACACAATCGATGCATCCTAAATCGTCTTCCTACCCGCGCCCAAGCAGTTGTTGAGCAGTTCATCGTGGTACACAACAGCGCGATTGTAACTAGCCATACATACTCATCCAGATCATTGCCATGCGGAACCTCCATGAGAAAAGCCAGGCAGCACCCGATCAGTCCCATGTTGGAAATCATGAAGCCGCCAGCCCCAATGCTGTACAATTTCTGGATTTTTTTGAGCAAACTCAATTCTTGGAAATAGTTCAGCAGGTGTTATACATGACGGAGTTCGCTGAATCCGCCTAGTATTATTTTGATCATTTGAAGTTATACTAACTAGTACCATTTGTGCTACCCAAAATTACCTGTACTGTCCCTGAGATATGGCTGACAACGGCAGGATGAAAACACCATCCTCTAGAGTGGTTGGAATAAATAATGACTCTTTTGACATTCTTGGTAAACAAAATGGAGACTATTTTGTTAGGGCGCTGCTAGCCTTCTAGGTAGTAAGTCTATATTTCACTTGGAACGTGGTAGTGGTCTATGGGGATGCCCAGCAAGATGGCAAAGCCAAGTTCCTGGTTGAACTGGTACATGTCATTAAGAAATCTCCATATCCTATAATCATTGCAGGTGACTTTAGCATGACTAGACAGAACTGTGACAAAAATAAACCAGGAGGCTTGAACAGATGGGGTCCTCTGTTCAATGCTGTCACTGAACAAGGAGATCCCATGGAATTTAACCTTTTCTGGTATGATGTACACTTGATGCAATAACCAGGAGAACTCTACCTATGAGCTTTTAGATAGAGTGTTGGTGTCACCTGCTTGGGAGGAACATTTCCCCCCAACATGTGTCTACTCAGGTGCCAACTGCTCGGTGTGTGGCGCTTCGGAGGACGCAAATCATGCCATTTTTTGATGCCATCTTCTCGTTTTTTGCTTGGAGTGTCGTGCAAGCCACGGCTGGGCTTAATTGGAACCCTTCGTCAGTGGTGATCTCCTTTCGTGCTCGGTGTCCCTGAGAGGCCAGGCTAGTAGAGCTATGTGGACATGCATTGGGGCGCTGCTATGGTTGCTTTGGCACATGCGCAACAAAATTACAATCGAGGGTGTGTTCTCATCTCATCCGGCTGGTTGTATTCTTAAATGCACCATCTCTTTGCAGTAGTGGAGTCTATTGGGAAGCGCCTGGACTCTGAAGGTTTGAAGACCGCGATGCAACATACTAGCATCTCTCGAGCTCCGGCAGCGTTGCTTAGGGTAGCACCTTATTTTGGTGTGTTATGAGCCTGCGTGCTCGGGTTGGCTTTTGCCTATAATATCCTTAGGTGGAACCTAGAATATCGTATGTCGTTCATGTGGTGTTCGGAACCTTGTCACTTTGCCATGTTGTGGCTTTATTAATTTAAAGTCGAATGCCTCCGACATCTTCGTTCTAAGAAAATGTGTCTCTACTCTCGCTAGGGAGCTATCTGATCATACACCACTAATGATCTCTTCTCGAATGAAGCTTTTAGGAATGACTCCTATGACGTAGGAGCCTCAAAGCTCCAATGAGTAACAAGTTTGATATAGCACAAGCAGGGGCACACATTACTTTGGTGGAAGTGTAGATCTAAGATTACTCTTTGAATCCTGAACTTTTGGTGGAGTTTGGTTGAAGGAATCAGTCGTATGGGGGTGACCTCTTTCAAGGTCAGCTATGAGGGCAACTCAGATTTGGAGGATTAGGTGTAGAGGTAGAAGAGGGTGTCTTCTATAGCTCCCTACAAGTCCAACTGTTACTCTCACTTGTAGCACATGCTCAGAGATCCGACCCATCTAGAGGAGGACCCACTTGGTACCCTGGAGATTCGGCCCATTCAGAAAAGGTGGCATTGAGTATCAAGGAGATCCAGGGGTTATATGCACAGAGACACATGATGTAAGTGGAGATGCCAACTGGCCCATGAAGATCCAACCCATCTAGAGGAGATAGGGGATAGGGCCTCGGAGACCCGAGGTATCTAGAGGAGAAGCCATTTGGAGCCGAAAGATCCGAGTGACTGGACCTCGGAGCTCTGGGGCATCCAGTGAGGAAACACATGTCCTTTTCGGTAGTGGTTTAGATGGATGGGTGGTTGAGGTGGGCTCTCACCTCCATCCTTCTCATCAGTTGGGACATATTACCTCCGTCCCAAATTAGTTGTTTTAGATTTGTCTAGATGCATATGTATCTGACACTAAAATGTGTCTAGATTCATTCGTATCTAGACAAATCTAAGACAACTAACTCAGGACTAAGGGAGTACGTATCACCTCAGAATTAATTGGTTAAGTTATTCCCTTTGATCATACGTACGCATCATTCGGTAAAACACACTCAAGGGGCTAGATGTACTTTCAATAAGGAAGAAACATTTTTTTTGGTGCGAGACGATGTTCTCGTCAATTGCGAGATGTATGCGGTGACTTCGATCTATCTTGAAGCTCCATGAATCCGAATCTCCAATTAATGACGTGCGGGTGTATGGTTCTAAATAAATGTAAAAATATAAGTAAATCAATTTTCACGATAATTTCCAGACTGGAATCATATAGCAATATTAATTACCATTAATTCATTGCCATTTATTTCCATATTTTGTGTTTTATGATGTTTTATTTGCTTCCTTGTTTTGGGTATATCGGCCCTACGCGCCATTAATACCTTCCTTGCCTGCTCCTCCCTCCGTTCTCAATTGCAGCACATCAATTGGCACACTATAGCCGCACCGAAGCTTGTACTGCCGTATGGTTGAACTCGATTTCTCCGTGGTGTGAGGAATAAAACATCCTTTCTCCCCGCAAAAAATAAATAAAAAAATTAGCGGGCGTATTAGGAGGAAACGCCTGATTCTTCCCATTTTACCCCCCGTATAGCGCCTTTGCATGCAAACCGTCTGAACGACACTAATAGCGCCTTTACGGAGTAGGACGTCATAGCATGTCCATTGCGAGAGCCATACACTGGATGCCAACGCCCACAGGACTGGCACAGTCAAACCACCAGCCGTCACGCGGTCCATCGTTGCCCCGAGTCCTCCTGACCCATCGTTCTTGTCGTCGGAGTGGAAGCACCCCCGCATATAACCCAAGGACCCCGGGCTCTGGCATGCACCTCCGCCTGGCCACCTTGTTGAGAGCAGAAGGGTAGCGTCCGCGGTGCGCGCTCTTGCTCCGTCCGTCGCAGCCACCGGCGGCATGGCCACCGCTGTGCCGCGCACCGCCGGCTCGGACTCGTCCGTGGTTGACGTGGAGATGGTGGAGGCGAGCGAGATCCGGCGGCGGGCCAGGCCGGGCGACCGCGTGTCGCCGCCCGGCGACTGGGGAGAGTGGCGCGAGCGCGGCGTCGTCGCTCAGGGTGACCAGCCGGCGTCCCTGGAGCGCGTGTTCGCGGACCAGCGCGTGCCGTCGTGGCGTGAGCAGCTCACGGTGCGCGCCTTCGTGGCCAGCTTCTTCCTGGCCGTCATGTTCAACATCATCGTCATGAAGCTCAACCTCACCATCGGCGTCATCCCCTCGCTCAACGTCTCCGCCGGCCTCCTTGGCTTCTTCTTCGTCCGCCTCTGGACGTCGGCCATCGAGAGGATGGGGCTCCTCAAGCAGCCCTTCACGCGCCAGGAGAACACCGTCATCCAGACCTGCGTCGTCGCCGCCTACGGCATCCCCTACAGCGGTAATTCTTGTCATTCGCTGGTTTATCGATTCGGTTTTTAATCACTTGCATGCTCTCTCTTTTTTTTCTTTGCGAATAATTACTGGCATGCTCTCTTTTTTTGGCGAATAATTACTGGTATGCTCGTACACACAACTTGATCGATTGTAGACTCTGCACCCAGACTCGTACAGGCAAATTTAAAATTTTGCTAAATATTCTAGCTGAATACATGACAACTGCATGCACCTAGACGCCTTTTTCAAGTATTTGAGAAAATTCTTTGGAACATAGCTATTCGTGAATGACACTAGGAAAGAGTAAAAACTTACTAAAGCACGAGCTGGGTACCCTTATTTCACGATTAACTCAAAATTTATTTCAGGGGGCTTTGGTAATTACCTATTGGCCATGAGCGGCAGAATCGCTTCGCAGGCAACAGAGGCAAATAACCCTCAAAATATCAAGAATCCGCATCTTGGATGGATAATTGGCTTCCTCTTCCTGGTCAGCTTCATTGGGCTCTTCGGCCTTGTGCCACTGAGAAAGGTAAAAGGATTTTATGTTCCAATATTTTCGGTATTCAAGAAAAAAATGTTTCGATATTTACTGAACCTGTCGTGTCAGATGCCTGTTTAACTAACTTAGCACTGCACTTCAGATTATGATCATTGACTACAAGCTGACCTATCCAAGTGGCACTGCAACTGCCTATCTCATAAACGGCTTCCACACACCCCAGGGTGCCAAGATTGCAGAGTAAATAATGCAACCATTTTCATTTCTGTGCTAGTAAGATGCCCGCACAATGAGTTTACCAGCTTTGATTTGGTTTGCGTCGTTTTACAGGAAGCAAGTAAAGAAACTGGGTAAATTCTTGGTTCTCAGCTTCTTATGGGGTTTCTTTCAGTGGTTCTACACAGCCACTAATGAATGTGGATTCCAGAAATTTCCATCATTAGGGCTGCAAGCTTTCAACAACAGGTAAAGATGGCACCCTGCAAAGGACGCCTCCTATCAAATCTCTCCATTCGACTTCTGACTTTCAAGATTCCTTCAAATTTGCAAAGCAGACCCATTCCAACATTCACCTTAATCGAACTTATTTTTTTGCAAGGTTTTACTTTGACTTCTCTTCTACCTATGTCGGAGTTGGAATGATTTGCCCACATATTGTCAACGTATCTATTCTATTGGGAGGCATCCTCTCGTGGGGAATAATGTGGCCTCTTATAGCCAATAAAAGAGGCAGTTGGTTCTCTGCCGATCTCCCTGAGAGTAGTCTCCGTGGAATGCAAGGTTACCGGGTAAGAGTTACAGTCTTCCTTGAACCTCGAGTTATCCTTTTTTTCCCTACTAAATTCCGATGGGTATGATAGGTCTTCATAGCCATTGCCGTGATTCTTGGCGATGGCCTCTATCACTTTCTCAAGATGCTCATTCTGACGGTCTACTCATTAAGATCTCGACTCAAGACGGGCAGCGCTAGTCCATTTCCTGTCTCTGATGATGAAACAAGTAACGGTACAGCTGCTATCTCATATGATGAGCAGCGGCGCAAAGAACTATTTCAAAAGGATCAAATACCCTGGTACATTGCATATGGAGGTTACGTTGCTGTTGCCGCTGTATCTATTGGCACAGTCCCGCAGATATTCCCTCAATTGAAGTGGTACCAAATATTGGTAGCCTATATGGTAGCACCGGTACTTGCCTTCTGCAACGCCTATGGAGCTGGCCTCACTGATTGGTCTCTTGTTACAACTTATGGGAAGCTTGCAATCTTTGCTTTCGGTGCGTGGACAGGTGCTTCAAATGGAGGTGTTCTTGCCGGTCTGGCTGCCTGCGGTGTGATGATGAGCATTGTTTCTACCGCTTGTGATCTGATGCAGGACTTCAAAACAGGATACCTGACACTGGCCTCACCAAGGTCAATGTTTATCAGCCAAATCATAGGCACTGCAATGGGTTGCGTCATTGCTCCCTGTGTTTTCTGGCTTTTTTACAAGGCCTTTGAAGACGTTGGGATCAGTGGAAGTGAGTACCCTGCACCAAATGCTGCCATCTTCCGCAGCATGGCAATACTAGGTGTCGATGGCTTCTCATCGCCGCCAAAAAACTGCATCACTCTTTGCTACATATTCTTTGTTGGAGCAATCGCTGTTAACTTGATAAGAGATCTTGTTCCCAAGAAGGTATCGAGATTTATGCCAATCCCAATGGCGATGGCGATACCATTCTACCTAGGACCATATTTCGGCATCGATATGTTCATCGGGACAGTGATCCTTTTTGTCTGGCAAAGGCTGGACAGAGTAAAATCAGACACATATGCACCTGCAGTTGCTTCCGGCTTGATTTGTGGCGATGGGTTGTGGGTTTTGCCCCAGTCAATGCTTGCTCTTGCCAAGGTGAAACCTCCAATCTGTATGAAGTTCCTGTCAAGAGGGGTGAACGCCAAGGTGGATGCTTTCATCGCAACATTATCATAGAATGTTCGTCGCTGTTGTCAATCAAAGATTCAGGTTGATGCCAGACATGTATGAAATTTGAATTTGTCCATTTATTTGAAAAAATAAGCCAGTGTAGTGTAGTTGATATGACTAGGGGCCCGTTCGGTATCCCTCCGCTCCTGGAGCAGATGGAGCTGCAGTTAGAAATCTCGGAGCGGGCGAAACGGTGCTCCCCAGATCCGCGGATTTTGAGGAGCCGGTGGATTGCCGAACAGGCCCTAGATATAAAACTATGCACAAAGAAATGAACGGCGAATGTATTGTTCTTTGCTCTTTTGCAATTTGAATGTTTTGTGAATCTTTTCCGATTTGATTTTCCCTAGTGTGTGTATAATGAATAGTGGGGCAGGAGTTGCAGCGAGGCACATAAGACTGGAAAATATCGGGCTAATAGTTTCAAATTTTCATTAACAAAAATTAACTGAAAAGAGTGGCAGTAGGCAGTAATACTAAATTTATTCAGACGTGCGTACCTCAGGAAGAGGAGTTCGGATCCGTTGGAGTACGCGATCCATTGCAGCTCGGACGAGTACACTGTCTGGAGTCTAAATTTATTCAGACGTGCGTACCTCAGGAAGAGGAGTTCGGATCCGTTGGAGTACGCGATCCATTGCAGCTCGGACGAGTACACTGTCTGGAGTCTGGACCACCTGCCAGTCGCCATGTCACCCAGCTCTCTGTCTCGTGGTGACGCGTGCGCCACCTCCACCCCGCCGACTCGGCCATCGAGCCGACGAGCACGATGACGTTGATCTGCGTCTGAGCAAGAGTAGCCTGCACGGCTGCACCTAGGCGCCACCTGCATGGTGCACTCCGACCGTGCCTGCCATGGCAGCCCCGTTCTTGCGGTCGGGTGCGCTGAAGCAGCATCGCGCCTGCTGGCCCGTGATGAAGCAGAGACCGCGGACTTCTCATATTCCATGAATCCATGCTGAGGATATCTCAAGACCCATGTGAGGTGCCAGGACACGGTGGGAAGTTTAGTCTCACCACACTAATGTAGAAAAGTTAAGTGCTTCTTATAAGGGATTATCTTTCACATGCTCTTACAAAACTTAAGAAGAGAAGTAACTTCAGGGCGCTCCTCCCTCGCCCGCAACGCCTCACGCACTCCCACGTTTCATAAACGAGCCGAGTTTAGAACTATGTCATGCTTGTCCTTTATTTTTGCCGGATAGAAACGAATAATTATTTGGAGATTAATTATGAGTCGCTAATGGACACACCACTAATCCGAGATGTTGGAGTGTGGGTTGTCGGTCGTGAGCCTAAGCCCAGGCCCACGACTCCCTTTCCGACAACCTATATATTGGAGGCGTTGACAATCGTAGCCGACACACTCGCTCTGCCTCCTCACACATAACTCTAGCAACCATTGTCGTTCACTCACTACTGCAGCTTCTAGCGATGTCATCCCGCCGCGTGTATGACAGTTCGAGAGAGTAGACCTCTGGGACCCCATTGTTTGTGATCCTGCACCGAAAGAAGGGTGATAAAGTTTTTCGGGAGCATCCTCGGCGCGATTGCCCGCTGATCGTCTTCATCTTCGTCCTCTGCTTTGACTACTTCCTCATCATTGATGCGACGGTTGACGGTGTTGCCAAGTAGAATGTTGCTGAGGAAGCCGCTGGTGCCCCCGCGACTTTGTCTGGCCTACTTGAGGGTATGATCTGTATTCAGTGGCTCATGTTCTAGCCGTACTTACTGTTTTCATAGATGTTTTGGTTGTATGTTCAATATGTTCTCACATGCTTATATTGGTATGAAATTCATGCTGTTATTGCCATGTTCATGATTTATTTATAGATTAAATCAATCAAAAAATTGCTAATACCCAATAATAACACTTAAAAAGGATAAATTTTGCCAAAAAGTTGAAAAACGCGACATAAATTTCAAAGCAGCGGACTGATGGTAGATGCATGCACGATAGAAAAATCACTGCATGTCGACGGTTCTGCTAGTTGTTGCGTCCAGACTGCCCGGCGCATGATGCGAATATTATGATTGGCCCATTAGTCGATCTGCGTGTTTAGACATGCGGAGTGCAAGTTCCAACTTGTGTGATTCTGATTGGCCCCAAAGAAGCAATTCACCCTTACATATGCCGAATTGAAATTGGCGCTATACGCTCTAAAATCGATTTTGCAGGCATGGGCAAAAGGTAATGAAGATACACGCAACGGTATGCCTCATCATGCTTACAAACTACCGCGGTACACGCTGAGACGACATGAACTCCTGCTCTTGGCTGAACTGACGCGAGCCGTGCTGACCAATCGCCGGAGCAACGCTACCACGCCCGCCGTCTCCCGCAGCTTCACAGCGAGGCCGTGCCGCTTCGTCCCGCCCCGCCCTCGGTGCAACACGGCGCCCCGTCAGGAGCTGCAGCCTCATCTCCACGTCCTTCATGGTAGGTCTCTCCCCTCGTGTCAGACTGAGGCACTCCTCCGCCAACCGAGCCATGCACAGAACCCCCTCCTCACTCGCTTCCTCAAGGATCTGAGCATCCACCATCTCCTCGAGGGGGTGCCTCTCCCTCATAGCCCACAAGAAGTAGTTCGACAGGTTCTGCTTCTCGCCCTGCTCGTTCTGAATGATCGGTTTCCTTCTCGTCAGCAGCTCTACGAGAATCACTCCGAAACTGTAAACGTCGCTCTTCTCGTTGAGCTGGCCGGTGTGGTAATACTCCGGATCCAAGTACCCAAACGTGCCCTGAACGGCGGTCACCAGGTGCGTCTGATCGTTCGGGATCAGCCTCGACGCGCCGAAATCGGAAACTTTGACGGTGTAGCTGTCCGTCAGGAGCACGTTCATGCACTTGACGTCTCTGTGCAGGATCGACACTGAAGCCGCGGAGTGCAGGTACGTGAGCGCGCCCGCGATCTCGGTGGCGATCCTTAGGCGCTCCTCCCAGGGCAACGGCGACAAGCCACCGTTGAGCTCGCGGTGTAGGAGGTCGTAGAGCGTGCCGTTGGAGACGAACTCGTAGACGAGCAGAGGGACCTCGGATTCGAGGCAGCATCCGTGGAGCTTCACCACGTTCCGGTGGTTGATCTGCGACAGGATGGACACTTCATTGATGAACTGGTCGATCTCGCTGATCACCGCGAGCGTTGATTTTTTGATGGCCACCACGCGCTGGTCGGTAAGGATGCCCTTGTACACAGTGCCGTGGCCGCCGCGTCCGACCACGCGGGCGTGATCGAAGTTATTCGTCGCCTTTTGCAGCTCCTCCAGGGAGAATATCTTTGTGCCATCGCTGGCACTTTTGTCGGAAGAGATCAGCTGTTCTAGCAGAATGCCTCTGTTCTTCCGGTAATGCCTCCTTCTCAGGCGTTTCTGAACGCCTCTCTTCCATCTCCGAGTAAGAATAGCAACAACTGCGGCAAGAAACAGGATGCCTCCGCCACTGCTTAGTCCAATAGTGACACCTGCATCGGTTGTCCGTCAAAAGTATGAGTTATTCATGTCCGGACAGAAAGATCTTCATTTCTTTGACAGGATTGCAAGTGCTACATATCGCTTACCTAATATTGCACTAGATGGTTTGCATTTCCTTGTGACGACATCGAAATTTGTTCCACGAGGACACTTGATGCATGCATAGTTCCCAACATTATTCTGGCAAATACCATTGCAGACGTATTTATCTGGCTGCAGGCACTCGTCAACATCTATAAATCGCACAATAATGTCAGTGGTGATCCTTGCAATGTAGTGCAAAATTGACATGTAATATCTCTCGTAAAGCGATAGCGCAATGCTAGAGCTACGGGCCGTTTTTAAGTGATTCATTGTACGGGCTGATGCATGCCGCTAACTTGGAAAACAATGATATCGTTCCGTGGAAACAACAAATTCATTTTTTTTTGTTAATTCCAAGAACGATAGGTTTGGTACTGCTGCAAAAAAGGTATGCAAAAGTTAGTCAATTCTGCGAGCGTTAAAGGTAGGCTGACGTGGCAGCCACGACCCTTTTTTCCTTTCCTAATCGGCTTTGGCTTTTTTTAGGTCCCGATAACTGTCACACGTGTGATGTATCGGATAGTTGTGCCACATGCCTCGTGTGGCATGGACAGCAACCAGTCCACACATTTATGTGTGGGCAAAACAACTAATGCCCACACACATTTTTTTCCCTCCTGAACCCTATGACACGCGTGCGTGTTGGTGAAGTTGATAACGCCCACACGCCCGTATTCAGGCCTCGTACCCTTCTGGTCCCGCACGCGACGCGTGACGCCCACCGCGCGCCCGCAGTTGCCATGGTCCAGACCCTCGTTCATGTTCGTTTATCTGCAGTTGCCATGGTTGCTCAACTGCAGTTGCCATGTATGGTCTGATCTAATGTAGTTGCCATGATTTCATAACTTTAGGAGTTGCCACATACTAACAGTAGGCAGTTGAGAGAGTTGCCATGTGCTTACAAGCATGTTAGGGCAGTTGCCATGTAAAAAGGAAGAGTTGACATCTGCTTACGTGCACGTTAGGGCAGTTGCCATGTACGTGCACGTTGGGGCAGTTGCCATGTACCATGCAAAAACACATGGCAACTCGGTAAAAGACAGTTGTCATCTGCTTACGTGCACACTAGGCAGTTGCCGTGTACCCTGCAAAAACACATGGCAACTCGGGTAAAAAAAGAGAGTTGCCACCTGCTTATAAAGCACACTAGAGGCAGTTGCCATGTGCGCTGCAAAAACACATGGCAACTAGCAGCTTACGTGTGGGAGAGGAGACGGGCGTGTGGGCGAGATGGCAAATGCCCACACACCAACCCTTGTGCGTGACTGAAAACTGGTGTGTGGGTAAACTGCTAAACGCTCACACACCGGCCCCTCCGTGTGGTAAAACGGATGTGTGGGCGAACTATGTCACATACCACACACACGCCTTGGCCTACGTGACACAGAAAATCAGCCAGATTATGTCAAGATTCGTGCATATAGTACTGGACGGTGATGGATGCGTGTGGTCGAGATGGTCAACGCCAACACGTGTAGGTGTTAACATTTCTGTTTTTTTAATCAAATTAACGAGTTTATAGCCTAAATCGATCAACTCCTGAGTTGTTGGACTAAAGCGTACAATTGGTTTGAGTTCATGGACTAATGGAGCATTTCACTCTCAAAATGTAGTGCATATTTGATTGGTGCCGCTGCATTTTTCTAATTTCCCTGACCTGACGTTGTACTAGCTACGATCATTTGTTTGTTTCCATGCAACCCAGAATTTGCTATTCTTGTGATTTATTTCATTCCTAACACTTTTTGAGCTAAATTATACTAGATGATGGTCAACTTGTTGCATAGTCTTTGTTCTAAAAATAAATAGTTATATCTGTTAATAGTCTTCGTTCGAAAATAGTAGTACTCCCTCTGGTCTAAATTAATTGACGCAGCCTCTATACAGCGTCAATTAGTTTAGATCGAAGAGAGTATTATATTTGCTATCCAACAACTCAATATCTACTTACTTGTCCTTTCAAATTGTATTTTGTTTTTGGTACTCTGCTTGGGAACAAAGAAGAGTACACCATAAGTTCTATACAAGTACTCACTCCGTTCTGAATTAGTTATTTTAGATTTATCTAGATAAGGATGTAGATATACCTAGACACAGTTTAGTGCTAGGTACCACCACTATGAGAAAGCTTGTAATAGAGTTTTAGCAATAGCACGGTATTATTGGTCAGCGCTATTGCTAGTTAGTGGTAGCGCTGGTCATCCACAAGCGCTACATGTAGGGAAGTAGCAGTAGCGTGGGGCCGAGAGGCAGCGCTACTGCTAAGTCGTCCCATAGCCATCGGCCGGGGCTGCCCGTAGTACTAGCGATGGTCACAGGCCCATGCTACTGCTATTGGGCTTAGTAGTAGCGCACGCCTGTGACCAGCGCTACTGTTATGGGTGCCTTATCCAATTTGCTCCTCGCGTCGACCTTCTTCCTCCCCTCACTCCCCGTTGCGTCACTGTGCCTCCTCCACCGATGCCCTCCCTCTTCCTTCCTCGGTATGCCATGACCCTCCTCCCTCCTCGTTCCATTGCCCTCCTTCCTCCTCCTCCGGCCGCGCCCTCCTCCCTCC